GGGGAAAACTTACACTTGCCCCGTGGAGAGAAACCTGGTGTTCAAGATGCAGAACACCAGGACATGCAAAAGGTGAAACCACACAGAAAAATCCATCTTGACCTCCTTCTCGTATTCTGACGTGTCGTCGTGTGTTGGTTGATCACTGATGACGTTTCTGCAGCAGCAGGTCTTTTCTTGTATCTTTACGTCTGTTGTTCCTTTGATGTTCAGCTGCAGGGCTCAGTCCATCAGAGAGGAGGAGTTCACCAACCTCTCTCTGGATCTAATTCCTCATGCTTCAGTCCAGGAGATGCTCCAGAAATACCAGATGGTAAGAACCCTGTGTGTTTTCATTCTTTCATATCAGCACTGACTGACATGAAGCCTCATGGAACCAACAGAAATCAGTCAGTCAGTCAGTGGCTGTGTTTTAATGACTGTGTGTGTGTGTGTGTTGTGTTGGTTTGTTGCACTGTACATAACTGACAGCATGTTGTTCCTGCAGGAGACTGAGGTAGAGTACAGATGTGAGTGTGGCGGAACCGCTTCAGGCCAGCGGTCCACGTTCCTGACGCTGCCAAAGTAAGTGACAACACATCCATGACTGGCTGCGCTGACTTTATGTTTTTCTACCAACCATTTTCAAACGTCCGCTGTACAGTCTGAGACTCTCAGATGTGTTTTTACAGCAGACTCAGGCAGCAAGTAGTTATTGTTCAATATATATTAATCAGTCCATCATGTCTGCATTCATTTTCTTTTACTCTTTTTTTCCTGTCTACAGGTTCCTGATGTTACACCTGAAGAGGTACAAATTCAACTGGCTCCTACAGCTGGTGAAGCTGAACCACCCCATCGACCTCTTCAGGGAGCTGATGGTGTCCTCCAGCCAGGTAAAAATAGCTCACCTGAGAACAAAAAGGAAAGATGTGGGCGATGTGTGTTGGTGCTAGAAATGTGTGTTTGTGTGTGTGTGCGTGTGTGTGTCTGTGCATGTGTGTGTGTGTGTGTGTGTGTGTGACGCTAACTGTTGTTATCTGTGGTTCTTCTCAGGCTGAGGGTCAGTACAGCCTGGTTAGTGTCATCAGCCACTTAGGCTTTGGAGGGAAATCAGGTAAGACAACATCAGAGGAGGCTGTAGACGTTCTCAAATTATGACATTTTCCAGGAACATGAATGCCATATTTCCATCCTTACTTCTGCAGTTATCTGCTGCTCTTTTGATTACATAAAATGGAGCTAAGTTTCTGGAAGCTTGTTGAAACTGTTTCTCTAAATTTGGACGGAAACTGTTCTTCTCCTCAGTTACATTTTCTAACCTTCAGTTCATGTTGGGACACCTGATGTAACAGTGATTCTTCTCCTGTTAGGACACTACATCAGTGATGGGGTGCATCCCAGCAAGTCGCTGGATGACCCAGCTGACTGCTGGCTGAACTACGATGATGCCCATGTCACCAAGACGACGGGATCATTGGTTTGTAAGAAGCGTCAGAAAACAGCGTACATCCTCTTCTACGTGAGACGGGTAAGAAAACAACACTTTGACACCCTGAAGTCAAACAGACGTCACGTAAACTGTGACGCCATTTAAATGGTTTGTTTCCCCACACACTGAGACCACAGATGTTTTTATGTCTGATTTCAGATGTAGGCCACACGGGGGAATGCTGGGACCTGCCCAGGGTGTGCTGCTGGGGCAAAATCAGCACAGGAGGAGAGGCCTGAACTCAGGCTCAGGAGGACGATCCAGTCCAGTCCAGGTAAGTCGCCATGGAGACAGGTAAGTCTATTGCCTGTGATTGTCCTGCTGCGTTGCAGCTGGTGAGGGTGAAGCTGGAGGGTTAAGGAGGATCAGCAGATTGTAAGCCCATGGTGGACGGCCTGCACAAACCAACCAAGATGGCAGATCAGCAGTTTGTCCTGTTACTGGAGCAGCAGGAGGTCAACCGGCCCTCCAGAGTAAGGACCACCCCACAGAGCCAGGGTCCTCTTGAGGTTCTTCCTGTTATCAGGAAGTTGGCCAGTGTCTCTCCTTGTTGAGGTAAGAGGACGCACTGTGACACCCTGTGCTGAATTCAAACAGACGGCCTATTCATTCTCTGTTGAAGCTACTTGTTTCACCTCGCAGTGAGACCACACATGTCTGATTTTCCATGTAGGCCACACTGGGAATGGTGGGACTTATCCATGTGCTTCTCTTTCCAAACCAGCAGAGGAGGACAGATCTGAACTCAGGCTGAACTGGATCGATATAGAGGACGATCCAGTTCAAGTAAGTCACCATGGAGATAAAGTCCAATTCTCACTTTACACACCTGCGTCCACAAGAGTACATGAAACGTAAGATTTGTCATCCACCCAAATCTGTGAGGATCCACACAGACCATCAGCCCAAAATTTGTGACCTTGCGGACTTTTAGCGGTGCAAGTGTGCCAACTACACCTGTACCAGAAAAACAAGTGGTGCTGAAAACAAATGTTTGGTGAGAGGGGAGAATGTCCGAGGAGATTCTCAGCCCTCCACACCTTTATAAATCGTCATGCACACGTATTCGGGTGGATGGAAAATTCACATTACGTGTACCCTTGTGGACGCAGAAAGCATGAATAAGCTTTAAGTTTCTACTCTCTGTTGTTGTGCTGCAGGTGAAGCTGGGCGTTTGGTTCAGAACAGCAGCTAGTCCTGTGGCCTGGAGCAGCAGGAGGTCCCTCAGCCCTTAGGAGGAAGGGTCCCCCCAGAGAGCCTGGTTCCTCCCGAGGTTTCTTCCTGTTTCAGGGAGTTTTTCCTCGCCACTGTCGCCCCGTAACAACTCACGTGCCTCTATCATTGGCCTAATCTGGCACTAGATTGAACTATCAGTGACAAATTTAATGTCAGAATCAGAATCAGAATCAGCTTTAATGGCCAAGTATGTACACAATATACATGGAATTTGGTCACCCTAGGAATTAGCAAGGAAAAGAATAATAATGAAGTAAAATAACTATAGAAAGAAAAAAATAAT